GTTTTAATTTAATCTGGCTCAGTAACTCTATCATATGAGAAAATAGAAATGGGAAATTATAGTAAAGGCTGAAATCATAAATATTTGGATAATTTATATAATAATAACTGCACATATCTTTGAAGAATAATTTTCTTTATGTATTCCGTTTCTTTCTTCAACACGTTTCCTTTTCATTTTAGAATTTTTTGATTTAATTATGGATTCCTGTTATTCTAAAAAAAACTAAATGCATTTAAAATGTACAGAAAAAGCAGCTAATTTTATTTCTTTAGTAATATGAATATTCAGAAGAAATATGAAATATATATGGTAAAGTGCAGTTACAGAGCTGATGTAACAGAATTTTTAGAATTCAATAACACACCGAACAACAAAATCTATCATGGCAAAACTTTTAGAATTTAGAGCTGGCATTGGATGCATTTAGAAAGGCACTAGGCAATAGAATTTAGGATCCACAGAGATTGCATCAAGTGGGAAAATGCCTAGTGCCAGCAATAAGTATGGTGCATTAAGACGTATTAGATTAATCTTTTAAATTGTAAGTTTCCAATTTCTTTATTAATAAAAAAAATCTCTTTCTATAATGCCTATGCATGTGATAAGATTAGAAGCATTTTTGATATTTTCCATGCTTGTGTCTAGTGAAAAGTAGAGAAAATAAAGGGAAGATAAACATGTTAAGATTCTAGTATCAGAAGTGAAACATTCTAATATTATGTTTTCATTGTTCTTCCAGACATTCTCCAAAAAGTAAGAAATTCATTGCAAACTTTCTGTAAAATACATCCATTACGTGTTGATACCATGGAAACATTTTTCATTTTGTCACATATTTCTCGAACCTTCTAGAATTGTGGCTCTATAAATCTTGCCTTCAAATCCTTCTAAACTTTCCAAGCTGCAATGTCTAAAATCCTAAAGAAAAATTATCCCTAACAATTTTATAACAGCAAAAGGCCAGAAATAGTTTGGAAAACAAAAATGGGGAGGGAAAAAGTGTAAAATTAATTTTATAGAGAAAACTGATGCATATTCTAAGAACTCTGAAACAATTACATGGAAAAAAACTCTTACTACGAAAAAATTAAAAAGAAGACATTTTTAATTAATTACATAGCTAATTTTGCTTTTGCTAAGAGCTGTTTCATAAATTGTGCTTTATAGTATTATACCTTGTTTATTTTTCAGATTCAAAATATTGTATAATAAGTTACCAAAATGAAACTTTATAAATATGACAGCAAAAAATAAAAATGTTTTATTTTAATGTTATTTTTTTAATATAATTTCAATATATTACTATTATTTTAATGAAATTTATCAATGTTACGATGTTCTCAAAAAAATCGTCGAAAAATACTCAGACCTTGGAATTAAAAATTTTCTATAGAAACTGATCTTAAAATCACCAAAATGTTTATAAGTCGCCAAATTTAGAACCGTTTAATAACAGAATTCACATCCCCAAAAGCGAAAAGTTGTTTAAGAGCTCTTTAATAGAAAAATATGAATCTTGTTATCCTTATGTTTCACTTCTTGCTTAGAACCTCGAGTATCCCATCACTTATATTAGAAATTCTCTTATATTAGATCCATATCTTATCCCATATCTTATATTAGAAATAGAAACAAATTATAACCGATGAACCCATTCAAAGGATAACCATTTACGTCAGTGAATCGCCAAAAATATTCCTCCAAAATGCTAATTCACACTCAAAATGGCAGTCATAAAAACAGACAGAAATTTCAGATGATTAAAATTTAGGACTTTCTGCTGATTTTGGCCAAAATTATGAACTTTTAAGGACCAAAAACCGATTCCAAAAAATCTAAGGACTTTTAAAGACTCTTAAGGACCGTATGAACCCTGCATAACTAAGGCAAAAGATCACAGTTTCTTAAAGTTTCTGGGAAGCATGTGAAACTTGTGCTGCTCAATGGCAAGATGAACAAAATAAACAACGTCGATCTTGCTTTGCTCATTGACTAATATATGCCATATGACCCGCAGTGGCACTTGATTCCTATTGGAGAACTGGAACATGACATTTTTGGACTCTCATACACAAAGCAAAAATGCGCATATCTCAAAGCAACTGCCATTTTTTTGTACGCATATAGAAAAAAACAAGTGCTTTTTGGGGGGCAAGTAACGAAGTATTAAGCCAAGCTACATAAAAATCATGAGAAATTTTAAGAATAAGAGAAAGTTGGGAGAAATATGTTAAAAATCAGATTGGCGGAAGAATGGTAAGAAATCGGGAGTCTCCTGGCTAAATCGGAAAGAGTTGGCAAATCTGCTCTTGTTATCATAAAACAAAAGGCCTCAGAAACACCAAGCATTGCCAGGAAAATAATGTTACAGGGGTAAGCCAATTTAACATTGAGGTAAATGGCTATCTCGCCATGGAGCAAGCTGGTAATGGTTTTGGCAAATGATTTTTTTTGGGGGGGGGAATATATTTCAGGGTACCCCTTGACAAAATGAAAAAAATTTTAGTGTCATTCCTGCTTATGTACAACACTCTCCCCAGTAAAATGGCATCCAAAACATAATGCAATAAAACATGATTAAAATAAGAATATATAATCTCAATAAACTGCATTTTAAATCAAACAAGGACATAACATAAGAATGGAAAAACATCTTATTTAATCTATGCAGTACAAAAGGAAATATCGAGTAACCCTATTTAGAAATTCCTTTATCTTCGGTGTATGGCAAATAGAATTCCTTAACAGCATCCAAAACTGTCTAAAATTATCTGATCTACAATCTGTATACTGCCGTCACCACATAAATTCACAAAAATAAGAATAAGAATTATCCTCCATAGTGCCAGACTGCCAGACTCTGTAGTGTCGGACAAACCCATTCAAAGCCATCTGAATGATCTTTGCGTTCGACCCTTCATTTGTACAAACAGGACACTTATAATGGTTACTGAGTAAACCTTCATTTACTCACAAGTCAATTGATTGGTGAGTAATTTGCTGGTCACTCACCAGTCACCAGATTTTTTTCCCATTCATTCCAAATCCTATAGAAACTTAAGATTAAACTTCATCACAGGCAGCCATTTTACAGTGTAAATCACAAAATAAGCAACGTACTTCCTAAGTTGCATCCAACGCAGATCCCTGAGAAATCAAAATCACCACAACCATGCATTACTACTTATCATGTCATGATAGGGTTTCCAAAATATACACTGTAAAATATTCAGGTTACCATAAATGAAACAACTTGGCGATAGTCCAAGGGGTACCATAAAATATAACTACCTATTTTTCGTGCCAAATTTATAAATGTTGAACAATCACCAAATGTCACCAAAATTGGCGACGTTTGGTGAATGGAATGAATAGAAAGCAATGGCAAGTGTTTGCCACTGCTTTGATTCACTCCCAATGTAACTTTTTCTGGCTCTATGTATATACAATAACCTATGTATGCTTTCCAGCAATTTCGAGAAATCAAAGGTACTGGAAATTTCTTGGCAGCTGGGAAGGGGGGGAACTACATCAGAGAAAGCATCAGTTCTCAGTTTAGTTTATAGTTTGTTCACAGCATTGAATGATCACTGTGCAAGCTTATGCATTTGAGGCTTTTTATATTCTTGTGTTTAATGTTCTTAGCAGTTTCGAATGGTATCTCTTGATTGTGCTCTGTCAAACCAAGAAGAGCTATATGGGTACTTTTGTGAAATGTTCCAGAAATGTGTTTCCTTTCACAAAAAAATTATCAAGCTACCATCAGTTCTGCATGCATTCAATCCATTATGAACCTGTACACACGTAACAATATTAATATAGCTAGGCAAACCACAGAAACTTTTGTTGCTCTATAGAGATGTTTGGTGTCGCAGAAAATTTCATTTTTATTTATACAGTCAAAAGTCTTTAATCCGGATGTCCATAATCCGGAATGATCTATAATCCGGACCTCAAAGCTACAAACTTTCTGCAAATGTATAAAACACATAATGCGTTTACGCATGCACATATGCGCTTACACATGTGCATAATACGTTTATGCATGCGCATTTAATGTTCAACGGATGGTATATATAAGCTAAGCTAAAATTATCTATTTCAGTTAATGTTGCAGATTGTATTGTTCCTTAATCTTCAAATTGGATCCGGCTTATTATTTTTTGCAGACTGTTACAGCAATTTTATAAAAGTAAGCTTGAACTTTCGATTATGTCAAAATGAATTTCCGATTCTGGAGCTCCCAAGGGATCTACAAAGTGAAAGCATGTTTCGATGTCCATAAAAAAAAGTGGAATTGCTGCAAAAAATGGATAAAGGCATATCCTTTGTTTCTCTAACCATTCCGAAATCTGTTTATCAATTTCACGCTGCTCTGCAGGGAACAGGGGGGTCACAGCGCGGCGCACAATGAACTGGAAGTTCATCTGTCAGCACTATCCTTATCTTCAGAGCAGATGTTTTTATTTTATTTGGCTTATAATTCCTTACTAAATGTAGTATTTCATCTCGATGTACACCGTCTTTGATATGATTTAAATCAAATTCCTCGTCATTATAAATATCACGAATACACATCAAATAGTTTTTTGGTTGTAATTTTCTAATTTCGACTATGCGTAATGTATGCTTTACGCATGCGTGCGTTGAAAGAAATGTTTAATAAAGTAAACAAATAAGTATTAAGCTTTTTTTTGTAAAATTTGATACCCTTTAAATCATAATTGCTCTTTATTTCATAAATTATGGTTTCATTATTTTTAATTTTATAATTTCTGCATGCCATCTTACCAGATTTAAATTTGATGATCTATAATCCGAAAAAAACGATAATCCGGAATCACCGAAGTCCCGACAATTCCGGATTAAAGACTTTTGACTGTATTTATTTTAACGAGCTCCAGAATTTACAGGGTTATTTTAAAATATGCACCTGAATATTCTGGAGGTTAAAAATATTATTCAGGAATACATACTATATTTACAAAACCACTCACTTTTTTCCCTTTATCATGGATCAACCTTTCAGTATCTTTCAACATTTCTTGTTTCCACAGCTCAAAAAAATAAGTTGCATCTGTGTAAAATTTCAGCCCGTCTTTTCCATCCTCCCTACAAAAAAAAAAAATCAAAAAGCATGTGTTTTACATTCAAAATACGGCTGTATCAATAAAAAAATCAGTTGGAAAAATATATACTCCAAGAACAAATGGAGACACCACAAAATTCATGGTAGTATAGTGTTAAAGTAGAAAAACAAATTATTAAAACTGCAGCGAAAACACGTTTTGCTTATGATTAGCAATACAAAGAATGTGAAAATCAGTAGGTGGCGAAGTCGAACTTCTAAATGATATTACATTTTTCTATATATTCGGAGATTCATTTTTGAATAACTCTTTCAAATACTTTATTAATAAAAGTTAAAAGAATTATAGGTAGATAGCTAGAACTGTACTTTCGATCCTTACCGTGGTTAAAAAAAAAAAGAAGACACTTATCGCATGTTTCCATTGCTGCTGCGGGAAATAGAGTAGTTGAGCAATTACAGCTTAATGAAATTCTAAAAATAAGTAAAAATCAGACTTTTTTCTAAATGGCAGCATTCTGAGAACTAGTTATGGGAAAGTTATGTGGAAGTTAAATTAAGCACTTTATGTTTCAAGCTATGGCAACATTTACAAGCGCAAGTGAATGATGTATCAATGTTGTAACTTAACGTAATGGCAAAAATTCTTCGGAAAAGCATTTCTATATTAATAATGATCTAATGGATGGTTAATTGTACCTGGATTGGTGGGTTTTAATTCTTTTCTTTGAAATGTGGAATTTTTGTTTCATTTCGTGGAATACACTGAATGGCCACACCTGTCTTTTTACATTCCACCAGCTGCACACTTTAGACACATATTGTATCGCTCCACAATGCTGACTGTTCCTGCAGGTTTAATCACTTAGATAACTTGGCAAAAAATATTTGCATGCCACATTTCATAGTAGTGGCTCATTTTTTTCTGAGGGAATATATATTTTTATGTATACAGTATACAGAAGCAATTTAATATAAATTTGAATTCCTCATTTTTTAACACGATTTTGTAAGCAATTTATGTGAAATAAATAGAACATATAGAATATACTAATACAGTAAAAGTCCAGAAATATGCAAAGCTTGGAACCAGAGGTTGTGCGGATTTTAGGATTTTGCGGATTTCAGGACAGAAAAGATAAAGCATAATATTCGGACTAAAAGTGCAAAATAAATAAGGCACATTAGATACATTTAATTAAATTATTATATACAGTCAAAAGTCGTTAATTTGGACACCCATAATCCGGACCTCAAAGCTAAAATCTTTCTGCGCATGCGCCGCATTGATGCATGCTCATAGGCGTTTTACGCGTGCGCGCAAGACATTTACGACTGCGCATATGCGTCTGCGCAAGCGCAGAATACATTTTCGCGTGCACATTTAATGTATAACGGAAGATATAAGCTAAAATTATCTAATTATCTATTTCAGGTAAAGTTGGTCATTGCGTTGTTCCTTAATCTTCGAATTGGATCCGGCTTATTATTTTTTGCAGACTGTAAGAGCAATTTTACAAAAGTAAGCTTGAACTTTCGATTATGCCAAATAAAATTTCCGATGCTGGAGCTCCCAAAGGATCTAGAAAACGAAAGCATGATTCATGTCCTTCAAAAAAAAAATGAATTGCTACAAAAAATGGATAAAGGTATATCCTTTGTTTATCTAACGTTCCGAAATCTGTTTATCAATTTCATGCTGCCCTGCGCGAGGGGGGGACGTCGCGGCGCGCAATGAACTGTAAGTTGATCTGTCTCTGTCATCACTATCATTATCTTCAGGGCAGATGTTTTTATTTTATTTGGCTTATAATTCCTTACTAAATGTAGTATTTAATCTCGATGTACTCCGTCTTTGATATGATTTAAATCAAATTCCTCGTCATTATAAATATCACGAATACAAATCAAATAGTTTTCTGGTTGCAATTTTCTAATTTCGGCTATGCATAAGGTACGCATGCGCGCATTAAAAGAAATGTTTAATAAAGTGAACAAATAAATATTAAGCTTCTTTTTTTGTAAATTTTGATACCCTTTAGATCATAATTGCTCATTATTTTATAAATTACGGTTTCATATTTTTAATTTTATAATTTCTGCATGCCATCTTACCAGATTTAAACTGATGATCTATAATCCGTAAAAATCGATAATCCGGAATCGCAGAAGTCCCTACGAGTCCAGATTAAAGACTTTGACTGTACATTATTGCAATAATTTATTATATGCATTAAATTAGTATTACATATATAAATTGATTATACAGTAGAATTCCAGAAATCCACAAAGCTTGGGACCAGAGGTTATGCAGATTTTAGGATTTTGCAGCTTTCAGGACAGAAAAAATAAAGTATAATATTCAGACTAAAAGTGCAAAATGAATAAGGTGTATTAGATACATTTAATTAAATTATTATATACATTATTGAAATAATTTATTATATGCATTAAATTATTATTACATATATAAACTGATTATATTATTCATTGTATATGTACACAGCATCGAGGTTTGCCAATTTCGCCTCATAAAAAGATCTGATTTCGGATTCCGGTTTTAGAATCACAGTTGCTGTAAAATTTCAACAGCTTTTCTTTATTTTTCGGTATATCATACACAATCGTGTAGCAATTCCATACCATTCTGCTATAAATCGAGGAGTAGCACCTGCTTCCATCTTTTGCAGAATTTGCACATTTTGCGTTACCAACAATGCAACGTGTTTACGTTTTTCAACGTTGCAAGCAGTAAAATCACATGTGCATCTGTCATTGTATTAAAAAGGGCTGAAATTAAAAATATTCTTAATTCATCTACAAAATATCCGGATTAAAAAAAGGCAGCATTAAACGATTTCGTGAAATGAAATAACAAAGCTCAGAAAATACAACAACGTGAATCGTGAATTTGAACAAAGAGTTGAGTGAATCGTCTGCTTTTCTAACTCGATGCAGATTAGAGGGAAAAAAACTTATTTATTTTATCTTTTTTATACCAATAATTTGGTATTTCCATTTTGACTCGTTATTATTTGGTAATTATGACATCATTATTCGGTACTTCCTTTTTTTTTTTTTTTTTTTTTTTTTTTTTTTTTGATATTGCATACTCAATGTTGCGTTTTCCGGAACCTACAAACTGAATGTTTATATTCCGAGGGGCAACGCGGATTTCAGGTCGGCAGATTTTCGGTATTTGACTGTATTATTCATTGTATTATATGTACACAGCATCAATGTTTGCCGATTTCGCCTCATGAAAAGTTTTCAGGTTTTGGATTCCAGTGTTAGAATCACAGTTGCTGTAAAATTTTCAACAGCTTTTCTTTATTTTTCCATATATCATACACAATCGTGTTACAATTCCATACCATTCTGCTATAAATCGAGGCGCAGCACCTGCCTCCCTCTTTTGCAGAATTTGCACTTTTTGCATTACCGTCAATGCAACGTGTTTACGTTTTTCAACATTGCAAGCAGTAAAATCATGAGTGCGTATCTTATCTTTCATTGTATTAAAAAGGGATGAAATTTAAAGCATTCTTAATTTTATCCACAAAATATCAGGATAAAAAAAGGCAGCACTAAACAATCTCAAATAACAAAGCTCAGAAAATACAACATGAATCGTGAACTTGAATGAAGAGTTGACTCATTATTATTCGGTAATTATGACGTCATTTTTCGGTAAGTATTTTTTCTTCGATATTTGGTACTTAATGTTGTGGTTTCCGGAACCTATAAACTGAATGTTTATATTTTGAGAGGTAACGCGGATTTCAGGAGTTGGCAGATTTTGGGTATTTGACTGTATTTAGAAATATACCCAAAGTTGCTACAGTAAAATAAGAAATACAACAAACAACATATAAAAATATATCTGAAATGTGACTTAGTAATGACACAAGATATCCCCTCCAACTGTATGTTGGACGGGGGGACACAAGATGGCGATTTTTTCAAATTCTCTTGATTCTCTTGAAAGGTAAAATAACTTTCTCTTAGCAAAATAATTTTGGAAGAGATTCCATACAGCATCATTTTCAATAGATGGAAGATTGAAAATATTAAAAATATTACATATTTGACAATGAGAACTTGAGAAAATGTTCACTAGCTTAAAAAATATATATGCGAAACATAAACTGCATGTGTATGTACCGATTGGTAACTGTCTGTTTCTCCTCAAAGATGAAATGTGCCAATTCTCATAGCTTATCATGTGCTAATTCTCGTATCTTATCAAAGCTGCAGTAACTGACAAGTATTCATTAATGTTTGTAAAACACTCCTAGAAATACTGTTGTGTTAAAAAAAAATTTATATTTTATATCAAGCAACTGAACTCTTCCTTCATAGTTTCTTGCATGTCTTGAAATGTCCCACATAATTAAAAGCACTTCATTGTATTATTTAAAATTTGCAGCATTATGCTAAACACAATGAAAAATAATTAAGAAATATAGCAGGTAACATTTTATTGCAGTGGTTTAGACACTAGCTTGACAAATTGTTCAGATGTAGATAACTAGTGCCTCTTTTAGCCCTATGATGTGACCATTCTCAAAGTCTGACAGCTGTTCATAATGCCATTGAGTATGTCTTAAAGGTATCTTTAAGGTATCTTTCGTTACAATGATGTGTACCCAAGCTGCCAGTGCAGTTGTAAATTCTAATCACTCGCCACACCTACCCTTTTACATTCTACCAGCTGCACACTTTAGATGCACATTGTACCACTCCACAATGCCAGAAGGTATTTCAAATTACAATTTACACAACTCACCAAACCATATTGCATGTCACATTTCATAGTTGTGGCTAAGTTTTTTCTCAGTGTTTTTTTTTGGGGGGGGCAACAGAGTGTATTAGAAGTTCTCTGTTACAACAGTCCTCAAGCCTTTTTTGCTCCATGCATCCTTTTCACGATAGCTGGATCATTTCCCCTTCCTTTGCCAAACTCAAAATATATATGGATTTATTTCAGTTTTTTTAAAATATTTTTAAAAATTAAACAATGAAAACGTGTTAAAAATGCTGATAAATACCAAAACCTGATTTTTATTTTTTTTATTCATAAACTAAAACTAAATACTTAAAAGCTAAATAAAAGGCTGACCAATTTCCCTACTGAAAATATGAAATTCCCCGCTTGGGGAAACTGCCCCTGGTTGAGAATGCCTGCTTTATAATACTTACTACAGATATAATTGTACTATATCAGTGGAGGAGGGGATTTGATGACAGTATAGTCACACAGTGTTACTAAACATAACAGCTTACCTGTATGGATTTAATTTGTCTAGTGGTGGAGGTTTACCACAACTCCTGTAAATTTCAGCCATAGCAGCAGGCATTGAGTCACGAGATATAACTTCTTGGTCATAAACAATTGAGCTTTTAAAGGCTTTTCTCATATGAATGTCTTGCAAAGAGACTGGAATAGATAAATAAAGATCTATAAATACACATATATGATATTTTATTCGGCCTACCTACAAAACTTGTTACTTAAATTTCAACATAATATAGTCAGATAACAGAAAAAAAAAAAGCCAGTACAATGTTTAAAATGTAATCTTAAACTTTCTTAAAAACAAAAACAAAAAAATCAGGAAATTTAGAGATATTAAAAAAGCATACTAACTTGAATTTAATTTATTAACAAAGCAAAAACAAATCTTCAGGCAATAATTTTGATTAAAAAAAAAAAGAAAGAAAGAAAGAAAGAAAACCTGCTGAGGAAACTTTAATATGGTATGATTTTCTGCTAACATCAACATCAATCTAACGTTCACTAATTTTAAACTATAAAGAAAGTTATGAATGTTTTTTATGCCATAAAACATTCATATGCTACATTTCTCACATTTTTATTCAAATTTCTTCTATCCAGTTTTAAAAATCGAAAATTATCAACAGTACAAATAATTCACATATTTACTCGTGTATTTCCTCCCTAGCTTTTTAAGCATAATGTCCTGGAAATTTTTAAATATTCCAGTCATTTTCCCTTCCTTGAAGGATTCAGAAAGTGAGTTTTTATCTAAATTTTAAAATGGATTCATCCACATAGCAATTGTTTCCATCTTACTAAAAGAGAACAAACCTCAGCAAACTATCTGTACAGGTCATGCCAAACCTTTCCCTTTCCACTCACTAACAGCAGTAACATGTTAAAAGTACTGAAGCATTCCCGCCAGAGCTTTCCGAGGCATAAGTCCAACTTCACTGCTTGGTAACCAGATCTTGCTATGTGACAGAAATTGGTACAAAAAGATTTCTCTAAATGCTCTAACTTGTGGTTGTTTATGCCAATTTAGTAGAATCAACCAACAATCCCAGCATAATCATTATACCAGTCAGACAAGCCTCTAGATTATAAGCACTTACATTCAACGATACAAAATGATTTGTTTCATTTCTTACATTCAGAGAAAAAGAAAGAAAATTAGAAAAGTTAATGTTAATTATGAAAATTAAAAATAAATACATCAGAGAAAGGAAGGAAAGGAAAAACAGGTTTTTTTTTTTTTTTTTTTTTTTCAAATAATCTAATTCAGTTTCTTTGGATCCTAATCAAAAATTTTAAAAAAATTAAAAACCAACATGAAAAACAAACCTTCTTCTACATTTGAATCCAACTGAGTTACTTTGACTGCTAGTCGATCAATACGTCCTTGTAATGAGTGGGTTCTTGCAGCAATGCCTGTGGATTCCTTGAAAAGAGTAGTAAATATATCTTCTGCATGCTTAGACAAAGATGACAATTGCCTGATGACATTTGACAATGTTCCATTAGTGACACATTCTAGTTCATTGGGAATATCTAAGGCAAGTGATCCACGGTTGTCAAATGGCAGTGTGTTGCGACACACATGGACAGGTTCTATAAGCCTTTGTAATAAGGGCATTTTGTTGCTAAGATACCTTGAAAATAATAAATATAAATCAGTAAATGAAAACACTTAACATATCAAATTCAAAAATAATGCATTAATTAAAAACGTGATTAGCAATCTATAACTTTCATCACTAATTTAATGTGAATTTGATTGAAATCTAAAATAAAAAAACCAGTATTCATTTTTAGTGAAGGCCTGGTTCTTAACAACCAGCAAACTCGAAAAAACAATTTATAATCACAATTTTAAAAGTACTCAGATTATGACAATACAGTATTATTTTTGTGGTTGTTTAAAATACACAAAAGAATAAGCCAAATATAATCAAAAGCAAATTCACGCTATCGTGATTGTTAGCACAACTCACTTTCAAACGAAAGATATTAATGCTTCCTAAATTGCACTTATAAACGGATGTAGCAATTATTCATCAAGTAGCATGAGTACAGTAAGGCGACGACGATTTAATTTATATAGATAAGAATTTAATTTTCACAGTAGTCAATTACTTCATCTTAGCATGTAATACAGGGAGTAGAATAATCATGTTGGGTTACAAAACTCAACAATGATCTGTAAACATACCATAACTGACTTTAGGTTAAACCCATCACTTAATCATAGTAAACAAATCGTTTTACTTATTCAGGATAAATTTACAATATGGCCACCATGACGTCAATTTCAAAACCATTGCCAATTCCATTCACAAACAAATAGAGTAAATAAAAGACAGATAGCCGAAAACAAAATTTTACCTAGCAATACAAGGGAGATAAAAAAAAATTATGTTACAGGCAGTTACACGTCTAAAACTTAAATAAGTCAAAATCTAAAAAGTTCATGTATTAGGTAATCGACAAAATATCATTACTCTGTTGGATTTCGGCTTTATTAAAGTACGACGTTTAAGTGTACCTTTATTCGTCTTTTCCTAATGTTTCAATCTAAGCTTAACTTAATGTCCAAAAATTTCTGTAACACGTTAAAATAGTTTTATTGTAACCTCCATGTGTAACATACACACAGCACACACACACAGATCGTATTTTATTCTCGAGAGTCAAGATGTAGAAATATATTTTTACTCGACTCCTGATAAACAACAACAGCGTATTTTGTGACACTGCAGTCATTTCAGAAAGCACATTTCTAAGTTGAGATATATAAAATCACTTCAGAATCATGTCACTCAGGAGTTGAATAAACATCAGTAAATTTTGGCTGCAGTTTTTCACGTAGTAAAAAGCAGTTTCAGTATGCAGGAAACATCCGTCACCTAATCAAGTGCATAAAACTACTGGTAATACAGCTTCCTTTTAAATTTATTTTTTCGCGATACGAAACTACAAAACGGAAGATTATTTCTTCTTCTAAAATTCAACATGGCAACAACAAAATATGCATTTATTTCTCTTTAACATTTGGCAGTATTTGTGTTTGTTTACTAATTTACTGAACTTCCGCATTTGAAAAGGGTGTTGAATGATGAACGAAGGTCGAAATAGTGTATATTGCTAGTAAATTTTGAATTCAATGCAGCAAAGTCATAAAAATTTGATTAATCGGTGTTGGCAGGAAGACTTCGTACACTTTCTGTTATCTCGTCGTGTTACATGAATTTCGTAATGAAATAAAAAAGGATTCCGATGTATGTTTCCGGCGTTGATTAACTTACTTTCTTTAAAAGATATATCATGATACCGTATAAAAGTGTTCAGTTTTGTCGCTGATGTAGTTAATAGTTTCCTATATATAATGAATAGAGATCGTGTTATTATTTTAGTTGGCGTTTTCGTTACTAGTCAGTGTGCTGCCTATCTGAGTACAAAGATTATAAATTGTCTTCACCAGTTTCTTCTTCTATTAAAATTGCTATATACTAATAACTGTACTGGAACAGAGAAAAGCATTATGCATATAAAAAGATTTTCTTCAAGTACTATTTTAATTATAAAGCATGCCTTTTATTTTATAGACTGTAAACAAATATTTCTTAGTCAAATATGTGATTTTTTCATTAATTGTTGTACAGTTTTAGAAGCTCTGAATAATATGTTTTGGAATGGAATGACATGCTTAAACTCAGAAATTCATCATTCTTTGTGTTATGTGCTCGTGACAGGCATCACAACATTGTGGACTGAAATTCTGTCTTACATGAACTCATTTCTAGAATACCTATACCTAAAGAATTTACCTTCTAACATTGGAATCATAGCTTTAATGTTTGCTGTCATCTTATTCTGTTTCCTTATTTATTTTACATTTGTTATATTTATAATAATAGTTAAATTGTATAAATTATTTCTTAAACCTCTTATAAAAATGTTGACTTCTTTGTTAAATTATAGAAGGCGTTTTGTTCTTCGTTCAAGGAGATTGTAAATATTTTTGAATTCATACTTAAGTTATAAATTTAGAATAGTTGTAATAACCAAGTTATCAATTACATTTTATATTAAGTTAATTAGTCACTTAGAGCTGCTAAATTTATTATATATATTTTATATTGAAAGAGAAACATGAATATTGACAATCTGAAGAACATAAAATATTTTCAAATGATTTGGTTTTTTTATTTCAACTTCAGAATTATCTGATAACAGTCAGTCAGTAAAGTCACTCAGATTTTCATCAGCTATTGTGAAGACTAAAAAAACATGGAATAGGTACTTTTAGATATAAAGTAACATCTGAGTTAAAACAATAACTTTCAACTATTCTGGAAAACTCTTCTAATGAGAAAATTTTGTGTCAGAGTACGAAGGGATTTGTTTGACATTAAAATGCAGTAGATTCACCAACAATGATGCAGTTGTAATTCGAAGATCCAAAAACTTTAAGATAAGCCTCCATCTGAGTGAAGTGAAACCAGTGGAAATGCTTCTTCATTTTTATTTAATTAAATGTAATAATTATCTGAATTTATGACAGCGAATCAAAATTTGGTAAAATGATGTATCTGAAACACTACCTGGTAAATTAAATGTTTTTACTCTACAATATAATTAATTCCTTCAAATGGTAATGCACTTTTTCAGCATTCTCTTAATGGTTTAATCCTTTCGTATTATTAAATAATGAAGAATCTGTGTTTCTCGCAGTGCAGAAAAAAACCACTGCACATAGAGCCACTCAATTTGTAACACACGTAATCCTCTGTCTGAACACGTGCTCTTCAAAGCCAGAATATTCAATATGTTTTTGATTTATTTAGTGTTTTCTGGAAATTTAATGATTTCTTGATTAACAAACTTGGCAATTAAAAAGCAATATGTTACCACTCAAAACAGCATAAGATTATTGAATCAGAAAACTCAATGACTTAAAAATAATGTTTTGTCACTTCACAGAGCATAAATATTTGATAAAAGAACTCGATGATTTAAAAGGAATTTGTTGTCATTTGAAAGAAATCTGGAAACAGCTCAAATCTAAAAAGACAATTATTGGTTAAATCAGCAGTTCTCAACCTTTTGACGAACGTGTACTGTCTAAACATAAATTGAAAACCTTTAGTACCACCACTACAAAGTACTGCCACCATCACTTGTGAACAAAACTCAGATCGCTTAAATTTACGAGTGTTAGAGGAAAAAAACTCGATCAGGATGTTGAAGTTTTAATTTTTTAATTTAATAGTTAAAAATACTTCTTTGTGTACCACCTATTTTTCTCTTGCATACTTCTTTGTGTACCACCTATTTTTCTCTTGCATACCCCCAGTTGAGAACCCCTGGGTTAGAATATTCAAATGTGGTAAAACACACAAGGGCTAAAGGTACAGATGTACCATCATAAATGGCAAATATCTCATATCTACCATTATAAACGGGAAAAAAAAACATGAAAACACCCATGCATCCAGCCCATTCACCTGAAATTAAACTACCAGTGTTCAGCAACTTTACTACTCGGCCATTGGTGTAATTAATTCCCTGGGGGAATACAGTCAGACTTTTATTTGCCTCTCAAGTATTTAGTTTTAATTTATAAATACAAAAAATTTTTTGTATTTTGTAAGTTTTGGTATTTATCAATATTTTCTATACTTTTTCTCGCTTAATTTGTAAAACATATTACAAAATAATCTAAATTCAAATAAATCTATTTGTAGTTTTGAAAAGGAAGAGCGGGAATGATTGTTTGGCAATCGTGAAAGGAGTAAGGGAAAAAAGGTTAAAACCCACTGCTATATATACTTTCTAAGTAACTTCTAGTAGTACAAGTTCTTCTCAACTAAAAAAATTTTAGATATTTAAAAATATCTCAACATGTTTCATAAAGGCAAATGAAAAAATAAAACCACAGCACAACAACTTCTTGTCATACATAAATCTTCGCTTTTTTCCCTATCAGGTTTTCTATGTAAGAAATATAATTTTGTGACTATTTTTGGAATTTAAATAATTTTATTTAATAATAAAAAAAGAAAAGAAAATGATTAAACATCTACCAAAAAGATCATTTGTGGTTTTAAGGACATAAGGAGAATGCTGTCAGATCACCAGTACAATTCCAAGGGGAATGACTCTTAATTTACAGGAGGGCAAGAAAAGAATTAACTGAGCAAAAGAACATACTGAAGAAGATAACCAGAGGGAGCAAATTATTTGGTGTGATGACGGTAAGATTTGGAAGTAATGATTAAAAATATGTGCGACACAAATTAGGAAATTACAGTTTAACTATAATGAAACAAATGTGAAAGACCTTACTAGCATATAATATGAGCACATATGTCAGCAAGTGGTATAAGCCAGTAGCAGTAAATTGTAAGCACACTGAATGTACAAAATTATATAGGCATTAGCTTCTGGAACCAAAATTACTACATTCCATTTCCATTCCCAAGTAATGCTCAATTTATTTTGATTGGATTTGGATAATTTAATAATGCAATTAAATTTTGTCTTGACCTAAACCCGACTGATTATTGGTAGTACCATTTAAAAACTCTTCCATGAATTAAGCATCCGTCTAATATAGACGGCAATTAATAGAGGTTGTAATTCCATATTGGCACTATATAATAACAAAAGAAGAACATTTCGAATTTTTTACTAAATATCAATTACCAATGAATGTGATTGGCTCAATATGCACTGATGGAGCCCCAGCAATGTTAGGTAAAAATTCAGGATTTTTTTCACACATGAAAAGAGAATTACCGGAAGTTATAATAACACATTGCATGTTGCATCGTCATGCACTTGCGTTGAAAGCATTGCCAGAAAGTTTAAAACAACATCTAACTACAGCAGTAAATGTAGTAAAATACATCTGAGGGCGAGCGCTTAATCATCGCATTTTGTGAAGAAATCGATACTGATCATACCGTGCTCCTATATCACACCGAAATATGATGGTTATCTAAGGGTTGCATGCTTAACAGAATCTTTGAATTGCGTGAGGAAATTATTCAATTATTGACTAGTCAAAACTGTTATTTAGTAAAAGATTTTTGAGAGTAATGATGCAATGCCGAGGCTGGCCTACTTAGCAAATATATTTAACCATTTAAATGAATGGAATCTATCAATGCAAGGATATGGTATAAATATAATAATATCTAGTGAAAAATTATCTTCATTTAACGCAAAATTAGAAATTTGGATACGTCGAGTAGAAAAGGGGAATTTTGCCAACTTTGCCTTGCTTGATTCTGTTATTGCAAAAAATGAAAATACAATTA